ACTCGTGGTAATATTAATGGTGCTAGTAATACGATAATCCCAACATTATTATCGTCCTCTGCTACTACTCTCACACAATCAAAAGTTTGGAATTATTTCACACGCATACAAGGCAAAACTTCATTGCAAGCAAAATGTACATTATATCCAGTTGATAAAGGTATTCTTCAAACAAAATTCTCCACAACCACAACTCTCAAACAATATCTGAAACAAATTCATGACATAGATATAACAAATTCGACAATGATTAACCCAAAACGAAAAATATCATTATTATCAACAAAAGGGAAAAGTCGACTTGATGGATTTATTAATAACAGCAATCGTAAAAAATGGATGATCTTTCAATGATATTAGTAAACCTGGATTATTAAAATTTATAACCAAGAGCATTCCAGGTAAGCCACGAATTTGGTGTTGCACTGAATTTTTAAAACTTTAAAACTCGCACTTATTCATCCAGGTCAAGAGAATCGCCCTTAACCGATATTTAGGTGAAAAGCTTCTTTTGAACGGCTTCGCACCTATGCTTTTCAGCAAGGATTCTTCTCTTTGAATTTCAATCCACAGGTAGGGGACACTTCTTTCTAAAAATATGAAGACAAAAGCAAGTTTTTGCACGTAGATGAAACAAAAAGCTTCTACCGTAAGCGGAACTATTTCACTATGTTAGAGACGATAGAGCTCTGAGTATTTCTCTTACCACATGGACAAGGGGGAAACAGCAGACTCCAGACTCATGGAGTCCCTTGGAGTTCCATGGAGTCTAGTGAAATCCTTGTTAGGTCTTCAAAAGTTGGTCATAGAATTTTAATACTGTTAATTTTTTTGAACTAAAAACGACAATCTTGCCGTTAAGCATGACGAACGATGTTTATTTTCGTACAAAAAGAGTAAAAGAGTTCGAATTTTTCGAAAACCTTTTTAAAAACGAACGGAGTAACCCAGGACCGCTTTCGACCTTGCTCAAGGGTCTCTTCAGCTGGGTTATGGTGTGAAAAAAAAAACATAAACTACAAGTCTGTCTAATGCTGACTTTGCTGGTAACAACTAAAGACTTCAATTTTGTGTCGTTTGACTGCTAGAATATTCTCGAGTGTCTCACTCTCACCACTCGCCACCACCTGTTGTTCAGGTTTTTGCACTCTTCTAGGGAGATCCTTGGATGGAGGCATATCGATCGACTAAAAAACCGGGCGAGTGTGGCACCAATTCGATTCGAAAAACAAGATTTTACCGGAACCCCACCTTACGGCGCCGAGAATACTCAGAAGTTTTCTTTCTCCTTTTTGTCTTGTCGGCTGACGAGGGAACATTCCCAAGTGATACGCTCCGATTTCATTCGTTCGTACGTCGATCGACAGAGGATAGTGAGCTAGTAAAAAGCCTAAAAGGATTC